GAAGCTCGAGCAGTGGCATCGGGCCCTGGCGCTGCTTGGAGAGATGCGGCATGCGAAGCTGGAGCCCAACATCGTCGTCAACGTTCCCGTAATTCCTGGAGGTGCGCGCGAGAGCGCCTGCGGCGCCCGAGCTCGGGGAGCACCAGTGCGGTCCCCGAGACGGCCCAAGGTTGGCCTTGCTGCAGCCCGACGCGGCCCCGAGCCAGGCCCGCGATGTTCCAAGAAGGTTGGTCCCAGACCCCGACTGCCTCTGGGCATGCCTTCCGCACGATGCCACGAGAAGGCTCCCAAGAGGTTCTCGAGCATCTTGGAGAAAGCACTAATACGCACGAAATCAGGCAAGCAAGCCAGCAAGCTGTCGAGCCAGCAAGCTAGCAGCCGCACAAGCAAGACAGCACGCAAGCCAGCAAGCAAAACTAGCAGAACTAGCGGCAAGTAGCGTTAGCTTTCAGCAGAAGGCAGGAGCGACAGGATGCAGCGAGCAGCGGCAGCACGCAATCATATCGCCATTTACTACGCAGCAAGCAGCACCAGCAACAACAACAAGCCGCAGCAAGCAGCAGAAAGCAGCAGCCCGCACCAGCAAGCTGGTAGCAATAGCAGAAGCTCGAAACAACAGCAACTAAAACCAAGCGTGAAGGGATGAAGCAAGCAGGCAAGCATGCAAGTATGATATCAGGCGCGCCGTCCAGCATGCAAGCAGGATTGGCAGGGGGAGGAAGTTATTAGACCAGCAGGCTAGCAGCCGTGGGCGCAGGACAGCACGGAAGCAGGCAGGTAGGCAAACGATTTTCACCCTCGCATGCAAGTAAGCTGTCGTGGACGTAGGTAAGGACCCACAAGGGGCCCAAGAGGGCCCCAATACAGTCCAATAGGGGCCCGAGGCAGCCGAAGAGGGCTCGGAGACGGCCAAGGAAACCCCAAGACGGTCCAAGATAGCTTCTGGACGGGCCACGCAGCCCCAAAGAAACGTCAAGAAGACTCCAAGAGTGCCCCCAAGAGAGCCTCCACAAGCAATCGTATAAATGTTGTTGCTTGATTACGTTTTAAATCATTTTCGCACACTCGATGTTTCGGGCCTCGGAGCACCCAGGACTGCCCAGGATGCCCCTGAGATCGGCCAAAGGCGGCCCGGAGTCCCCCAAGAGGGTCCAAAAACGGCCCAACAGGGCTCCAAGACGGCCCAAGCGGCTCGGAAGATGGTCCGAGAGACCGCCAACAGACGGACTCAAAGCGGCCCAAGAAAGCTCCAAGATATGGCCCCAAGGAACCCCCAAAACAGCACCCAGAGGCCTCCGGGAACGTCCAGAAAGCCTCAGGAGGATTGGGAGGGCCCCGTGGCAGCCCAAGAGGCCCCCAAGAAGGCCCTGACAGGGAATACTGGACGAGCTCAGAGGGGACCAGGAGTTTGGCCACGCGCGCCGAGACCATTGAGAGAACCGTGCTCTGCCCGCTTCTCGGGCGTCCCTCCCTCGCTCCTCTGCGCTCGCTTCTCATCCCTCGCCCACCTGCCTCGCGCCTCGCTCCTCGTCGGGCGCGCCTCGCTTCTCCCACCGCTCTCCTCGTGCCCGGCTCCTCGTTCCTCCCTCGATCCACCGACGAGCAGCAGGTTGCGTCGGCGAATCCGCAGCAGCACGCAATCCGCAGCGAGCTGAACCCTGCAGCCGCGTGCAGCAGCAGCAGCAGCAGCAGCAGCAGAGGCGAAGTTCGGGCCCCACGTCATCATGAACGCCATTCGGGAACAGCCCCACCCTGGCCCAACGGGTAGTCTTAGACAGATTTCGTGGCCAGTTGGCCACGGCTCAGCACCAATCGGTTACAGCGTTGCGATCAGCACGTGCGAGAAGAGCGAGCAAGCGCCAGGAGGAGACCAAGTACTCATCGAACCAAATGCTCATCTAAGCTCGCAACTCCTCGCTCCCTTCTCCTGGCCCCCGACACCTTCCGTACCGGCAGGGCCTCCTACGGCCTCGGAGTGACCCGACGCGGCCTCGAAGATGGCCCCCTTACGAAGAGGACCTCAAAAAACGGCCCAGAGTGGCCAGCGGTAGCAAAAGCGAGCGGACGAGCAGGCAACGAGGCGAGCAACGACGAAGAGATCGAGCGACTGGGCCACTCCGAGCTGCTGGCCACATGGTCAGCAGCCTCGCTGCTAGGACTGGGGGCAGGAAGCCAAAGAGACAAGCGATCTTCGCCCTTGCATGCGAAGAAGCTCTGGTGGCCTCCGGGATAACTACAATCAGATCGGGCCCTCTGCCGTGAGCGAGCTCCACGGGTCAGCCCTGGTCAGCTACGGCGTTGGCGTCAGCGCGTGCGAGAAAGCGAACTGTGTTGGCGCGTGGGGCTGTCTCCCTCCCAGGCTGAATGGTTGAGGACGTTGTCCTTGCCTCGTTTGTGGTGCGAACTGTCTCTACAAATTCTCCGACGAGCTGGGGGGTCCGTAGTGACTCATGGTCAGCGCTGTTGCAAGATGATTCGGCGGGGCGAAAATTGGCCGTAACGCAATCAAGTACGTCATCAGCAAGCGTTGACGTTGTTGGGCGAGTGTGGGAAAGTGCACCATGGAGACAGAGGTGGAGTAGCACAGTGGCTCAACCTGCAGATGCCGGCTAGCGAGGTTGTGAGTGGCAGCAGGCGCCGCCATGGCTCGGCGACTCGTGGAGAGCGACATATCGAAGGCAAGGGCTGTCGCCCGATTGTGGCGCAGTGGCGTGGCATTCGCGTGCGGAGAAGCTGCAGGGGGGCATGTTCGCCTCGACCCAGCTGGCGAGCCCAGGGCCTGGACGTCCTCGTCGCGCGCCAGCAGGGCCAATGACAAACTGGCACGGGGCTCAGTGGCTCGTGCGGGGCGGAGCGGGAGCTGGAAGCCGGCCGCCGTGCCGCGGAGACCGGTGTGCGCAGGGGAAGTTTCGTCCACGAGGGCCAGCAGGGACCCCAAGCCGCAAGAAGACTGTCCGAACATGGCCCCGAGAGGGCATGAGTGGCGCCGCCAACGTCGCCTCCGTCGTCATCGTCGTCGTCATCGTCGTCGTCGTCGCCGTCGTCGTCGTCGTCGTCGTCGTTGTCGTTGCCGTCGTCGTCAACGTGGTCGTCGTGGCCGTCTTCGGTTTTCGGTCGTGCCAGACAGTCTCTCCCCGCGGGCGCTCCTCTGCCCACGACGTCTCGGAGCGAGGCGCTCCTGGAACCGCTCGGGCTCGACGACGCCGCGGCGGACTGGCCCAGCGCGGGCCGCCTGCGTGCGCGTGCGGCGCCGAGCCCCACGGCCCCCCGTGCCGAGATATGTTCGCTGGGCCGTCTGGCGCTGCGGCTCTGCGCGCCGCGGCTCTCTGCTCCGTGCTCGGCGGATGGGCGCAGGCCGCCCCTCGGCGGCGGCTCGCCGGGGCCCTGGCCGCGGGCGCGGCGGCGGCGGAGGCTCTCTCTCTGCCGGCGCCGTCGGCCCCGTGCGGCTGTGGGCCGTGCGGTGTGCGATGTTCCTTCCTCGCCTCGGGAGGAGGAGGAGGAGGGCTGTGCTGGACTCTGCTGCCCTGGCCTCCGAAGCTGCGCATCACGCACGGCGGCGGCGACGGGAGCTTCCCCTGTCCCAGGCCGTCTCTGGGCGGCGAGGCCCGGCTTTGCACGCGTGGCCCTGAGAGGGGCCGGTTTCTCGCAGGCCTGCTGTGCACGCCTGCACCGCTCTCGCACGAGCTGGTCACATCGCTGTGGCTGCTGCCACTGCTTGCCGTCTCGCACGAGCTCCCGCTTCCAGGCTGTAGCTGATGCGACCCTTCGACGGGTGCTGCCACTGCCCGCCCAACTCGATCGACGGGCCGCTCGCGGCCCACGAGCCGAGTCCATGAGCAGACACCCGGGCCGTCCCCGAGCCAGACGATGCACGGTTGTAGCTGAACAAGTGTTCGCTTTTGCTGTTGCCTTCTCGCACGAGCTGATCTTTGCACTGCAGTTAAAATGTGTCCAGGCCGATACCAATACATTTGGGCAACAACAGATGTGTTGCCGTTGCTCCCCTTGCTGCCACTGCCTGCTCCCCACTGCCTGACCGTGCCTTGCATGCACGAGCTGTCCCCACCACGTGAGCTGCGCTGTAGCTGATGGCGTTTGGCTCGCGTCCTTCCTCCACTCCAGCTGCCACTGCCTGCCCTTCTCGCACGCCTGCGCATTCTCGCACGGCCTTTCCCCAGCATTGTGGCTGATGATGCATGCAGTGCTGTCGCTTATGAGATCGGGCTCCAGCGTCCCCCCTTACTTCCCGCAGAGCGGTGTCGGAGCCGCGCTCTGTTCGCCCTTCTCGCACGCCGTGATGCCAGCGTTGTAGCGAACGACATCGGGCTTCGGCTTCTTCTTCCGCCTCTTGTTGAGTAGCAACAGAACCTGCCGCCGTTGCTCACCCTTCTCGCACGCGCTGTAGACAGCGTTGTTGCTGACAAGCTCGGGCTCCGGCTGCGCATCCGCCTTCTCGCAGGGTAGTGCCAAAGCTGCCCCCCGCTGCTCGCCTTTCTCACACGCCCTGATCCCAGTGCTGTAGCTGATGAGATCGAGCTCCAACTTCACCTCCCGCATCTCGCTGAACTGCGCTGTTGAAGCTGGCCTCTGTTTGCTGCACCGATTGCAGCGTAGTAGCCGATGGCGCTGGCCTGCATTGCCTGCAGCTGCCGCATCACATTCTCTCTCTCGCTTCGATCCCAGCTGTGAGGCCAATGACGTCGGCTCCGTGGCGCTCCTCCTCCGAGGCCTGGTCCCCTTGGGGGCGGGGGGGACTCTGGGCCTCGTGGTCTGGCTGGTCACGTTCAGCACCTCGTCCCAGCTGTTTGGCCGATGACGTTGGGTCCTGGCGCGGGACCCGGAACGTGAAGATGCCACACTTGAGTCCTTCGGAGCTTTCTTGATGGTGGGGCGAGGGTGGCGGGGAAAGAAGGGACGGGAGCGGGACGAGGGGGGAGAAGGCCATCGCTTGGTTCTTGATGGCTCGCAGGGGCAGTGCCCCTCCTAAGCTTGCCGCCCACAACTCAGGGCCCCCCTGCCCGAGAGGGATGGCTGAGGAGGAAGAGGAAGACCAGCGGCACAGCAGGAGGAGGAGCACAAGGACAGCTGGGAGGAGGGGGAGCAGAAGGAGAGAGAGACAGGAGGGAGGAGGAGAAGGAGGAAGCTGCGCAGGTGCTGACCACGGCCGTCATGCCCTGGGTCGGCGGCTCGGCGGCCCAAGATCACCTCTATCTCTCTCTCCCTCTCTCGCTATTTGTTTCTCTCTCTCTCTCTCTCTTTCTTTCTCTATGGATTCGTATGCATGTATGCATGCATGCATGTATGCATGTATAAATGTATGCATGTATGTGCACATGTATGCATTCATGCATGTATGCATGCATGTATGTATGTGTGTATGCATGTATGTGTGTAGGTATGTATGTGTGTATCTATGTATGTGTAAATATGCATGTGTGTGTTTGTATGTTTGTATGTTTTTATGTTTGTATGTACGTATGTATGTTATGTATGTGTGTATGCATGTATGTATGTATGTATGTATGTATGTGTATGTATGTATGTTTGTATGTTTGTATGTATGTATGTATGTGTGTATGTGTATGTGTATGTGTATATGTGTATGTATGCATGTATGTATGAATGTATGTATGTATGTGCATGGATGTATGTATGTGTGTGTAAGTGTGTATGTGCATGTGTGTATGGATGGACGGATGGATCGATGGATGTATGGATGTTTGCGTGTATGTGTGTAGTTATGTATGTATGTACGTATGTGCCTGCGTATGGTTGTATGTGTTTATGTATGTGTATGTGTATGTGTATGTATATGTTTATGTATGCATGTATGTATGTATGTATATATACAAGTATGTATGCTTGTATGTGTATGCGTGCATGTGTGTATGTATGTGTGTATGTATGTGTATAAATGTTTGGTTGTATATATGTATGTATGTACGTATGCATGTGTGTATGTATGGATGTACGTATGTATGTGTGGTTGTATGTGTGCATGTATGTATGGATGTATGGTTGTATGTGTGTATGTATGTATGCATGCATGCATGCATGTATATTTGTATGTATGTATGTATGTATGTATGTATGTTTGTATGTATGTTTGTATGTAAGTATGTATGTATGTATGTGTATATGTACGCGTGCGTTAATGCATGCAGATGTTTGTATCCATGTTGATATACAGATGTGAGTGTATAACTATCTATCTTTCTCTCGCGCCCTCCCACGATTCGCACTGCCCTCTCCTCGCGACCGCCCCCCTTTCGGAGGACGAGGTTACCATGTATGTGCACGGCCTCCCCTTTCTCTCTCTTTTCTCCCTTGGCGCACGGGCGCTTTTTGTGCAGCCCCGGCGAGCAAACGAGGACGAGGATGAGGACCAGAGCAGAGCAAAGCCACGATGCACCGACGATGCTGCAAGACACCCTCGCGTCCCCAGCCCCCTCCTCGCACGAGGAGGAGGCGCCGCGCGCGGTGTCCGACCCCTCGCGTGTTTCCTCTTTCCTCCTCCTCCTCCTCCTCCTTCTCCTCCTCGAGCCTGCTCCTCCTCCTCCTCCTCCTCGAGCCTGCTCCTCCTCCTCCTCCTCCTCCTCCTCCTCGAGCCCGCTCCTCCTCGCACACGAGCCCCCACGGGCACGATCTGCCCCCGCCCCCACGGGCTCGCGGCTCGGGCGGAGGCCTCTCCCTTTGCAGAGGAGCTGCCGCTCGCCCTCCGAGCGGCGAGGAACGCGGCCGGGCGGGAGCCGTCTTGTGCGGGCCCGCGGGGCGCACGCGTGTCGGAGCCGCAGTAAAAAAATACCCTTCAAATATTAAAAAGTAGTCAAGAAAATCGTCCCCAGACTATCGTTTGACTTTTTGGGGGATATTTCTCCTGCAGAGGGACAGGCCCCACTTGAAGCTGGTGCAGGCGCGGGTCCGGCCGCGGGCGGGGCACGCCGGGAGCGGAGGTGGAGGCACAGGCCGCGGGGGAGGGCGCGGGAGGGGCGGCGGAGGCGGGAGCCCAGAGGTGGGCACGCGCGGCCGACGTGGGCGTGTGGCCGGCGGCGGCCCCGCCGCGCGAAGGCACCGCCCTGCAGCCGTCCGCGCACAGGCCGCACGGCCTGGGGCCCTGATCCGCAGACGGTCGACGTCGAGGGTCGGGGGTGCCTTGCATCCTCGCCTCGTCGGTCCATCCTTGACCCCTCTTCGATGGCCAGCCCAGCTCGAGAAAAGCTTCGAAAGGGGCGTCCAAGGGGCTGGCGCCCTCGTCGTGCATGCATGCCATCAGTCTCGACTGTCATCCAGAGAAGTCTCGGGCGAGAGCCCGGCCTCCATCCTTGTAGTGCTTTCACACTACGGTGCTTCGCGTGTGGCGCATCCGCGTCGCGCACTCCGCGGGCCCATGTTGAATCAGGCTTCCCGTTTGGAAGGTGCTGGGTAGTGGCAGGTTCCCGAAGCTGCCGTGTGGAGTTCGCGTGGGAGGGGGGGCAGCGGCCGCTTGGCACTCTTCAGCTG